TGTCTTCTCTAAGTGTTGTTTAGAAGGCTTCCCTTGGGAGAAGTGAGTACACATAGTGACTCATCCCTTTGCTTTTCCCAGAAACAAAGGCCCCCATCAGACCTTCCTACAGGCAGAGAAAGTTGATTTTATATCTTTTAAGAGTTTGGTAATTATTTATTTATACTCTTTGTTCTAAAGATAGATACTCTGAGATAAAAGCAAAATTATGGGGAAGACTAGAGGGGAAAAAAGCAAACCCTATGTTAAATGGTAAGAAGTGGGAAGTAGGTAAGGGATCGATTTCTTAGTCAGGCAGAAGAAAGCTACGAGGCACAACAACAAAACAACTGGTGGCACAGTCAACAGAAAAGCATCTTTAAACCACCAAAGCAACAGTTATGAGGTTTGAGAGGTCAGGATGAGTGGTGAGCTGTCCACTTGCTGAGAAAATCAGACAGCATGCCCCAGAAAGCCTTTCCCACTGATTTTTGGTGCTTAAAGCTCTTCCAGAAAGGGGGCATGTTAACTGTTTTCAATGCACTCCTTATCTTTTACTCTCAATTTGTCATGTGATCATACCCTATTATTATTAATGCGGGTGCACAGCTTCGTCTAGACCAGACTTCTTGAAACCGAGACAGCTATTACGTGTTTTCTTGTATTGCTCTACATCCCCGATCAACTGTCCTTAAAATTGTGTGTGCTAAGTGGAAGCAGAAACTTAATTTTTAGCCTCACAGGTCAGATTATGTGCAATTTTAATTTCCATGTATTGGTTGCTTACTAGAAAACAACATGGAGATCTTTTCTGTGTTTATATACAAGTAGGAGAAAATAAAAATTATAACTGAAGGGGGAAGAGAAAAATATAAACCAGACACAGACATTCTTGATAGGAGTATTCAGAGAGGATTAGTGACTGGAGAGATGAGTGGCTTTGCAAGGGTTTGAAACTAGGAACAGCTGAGGCATATCGTCTTTACATGTACAATACTCCTCTAAGCAGATCATTCTGCCTTGCCACTTTTTAATTTCTTGAAAAAGTTCTAATGCAGACAGTCCTGGAATGTTCTAGCAAGGAGTGCTTTGTGAGAATAGAGCAAGAAAACAGATCACAGATCTGTGGGACGGGGTCTTTAAGCTGAATAAGCTAGCAATTAATGGCTTTTGGCTTGCTTCTGAGATAATTGTGCTAGCTCTCCTTATGAAGGCATTGATCCACTTTTAAAACAAAAATTTCATTGCCTGGGTGCTGCCTCACATTTCGAATATGCTAACCACTGAACTTTCAGCAACACCACTTAGCCCTTTTAGGATAGTGACTTTATTTCAGAGAATGGTGTCCTTGACCCACCACGGATTCAAGTACTTACTTGGTAGTTGTTTTACTGTGAAATGTGGCTTTTCAACTCAGGGTGGGGTGGGAGCTTGGGGGTGCCAAAGCAGGAAGTGCTCTATCCAACAAAATCTAGCTCCTCACAAGGCCATGGAGCTCTACTGTTCCAGCACACGTACCTGGGAGTTTAATAACCAGTTTATGAGTCTAAGCAACAAAAATTCCACTGGAAAGACAACATTCCAAATCCTGAGCATCTCAAATTGACCACAGCTCAGGATTCACCATCATAAAGTATCCTCCCTCTCCTGCTCCCCTCCCCCCCCCAAGCATCCACCATGAGAACAGACCCCACCCAGTCATGCCTGTTCAGCCACCTGGGAGACAGAACTAAGAACCATCCTTCCCTCCAGCACACAGACACGGGCTTTACCTTTCCTTCATTACCTTTCTTCTGGAGAACAGATTTCCCAGTGGTCCTGCCAAAGGGCTCCTCAGGAATGAATGAGAGCACAAAATCCATTTATCTACATCTTCTGTAAGATCTGGAGTATTCCATACTTGGTCTGATTCAAATGCAAATTGGAATGGAGCTAGATACATATTTTCAAGGGCCAATGTTTTGTTTAAAATGAAAGTGGAACCTCCATTTGGGAACTGCGAAGCATTCACCGCCTTCCGTGTACAGAATTTTGACCTGAACATTTGTTTTGGGCCATTAGGCCAATTACCAAATGCATTTTGATTTTTTTTTTTCCAAGTGTGCAGTACACTTGCAATGCAATGAATGGCTTCCAGGGGGATAGTACTAAAGAGTTTCAATGAAGTTCCTTTCAATTTCCGGAAGGACCCAATGCAGAAAGTTTCATGGTTGAGAAGAGACACTGGAGAGAGTGGAGTGGTATTCGCCACAGAGCAACAAATGCAGTTCTCAGCCCTGTGAGGAAGTGCTAAGGTACATCAAGAGGTAGACTACCAATATCCTTTCAGGATGTACCTTTTCTGCTCAAAAGATAAAATTAACCTGAGGTCACACAGTAAATGATGGAGCAGCCTTCAACCTTCAAACCTTCCCTCTGGTTTCCAAACTCTCACCTTGCTGTGCAGCCAACATGACATGAACTTAACTAGCTGAATAGCACACAAATAAGTCGCGCATCGTTTTGGAACTTCATGACCGTAAGACCATTTCCAATTCTAAATCAGCATTTCAGTTTAGGGCATCAGCTCTGGTAGGCCCTGATAAGGTCTTGACTTGACTCTTTGTTCTCTGTGGCCTTGGGAATAAAACTCAGATGCTGCAGAACTGGTCTTATCCTTTAGGTTCATGTCCATTTATCAAAAACTTGGCACTTATTAGTGAACCTTCAACACAGCTTCATTCATTGTTTGACACAGAAAATTTATACTCCTGTCAGAGGAATGCAGCTCTGAAAACCCTCAATGTCACAAAGAATACATAATGGAAGAAACACTTCTTGCACTGCCTGACATTTTACATTTCTTTCCAAATTCCTGTCTCTAGTTCTGGAAATGATGAATCTCTTGAGCACAACAGTGATTTTTGTTTTGATTGGAGAATTCATGTTCCTTTCTCTCATTCCCCCTCCACCCCCAACACCTCATATGTACATCTGGCTGCAGATTGAAAATCATGCCTACAAATAGCACTGACAGTTGAAAAAAATGTGAACATACTCTCAAATATTTGTTCAAGTAAAAAAGACACTTCTCGCACCCCCAGTCACTGAGCAGGGAAAAAAAAAAATCAGATCCAAAGTACTGAATTCTGGATACACAAAAGTTAGATTTTATTTTTTAAGTGGTTATCTCTTAGGAGCAACAAATAGGGTAATTGTTCTCTTGAATGCCAGTCTCCAAAAATTCAGAATGCGGCTACAAAGCACTTTATCTTCCTCCCTCAATAGCATGACTCTTGAATTCTCTGTACTTCATAATTTTCTAAATGGTGACCATGATGGCTCCCAGCCTTGGAATTTCTGCACTGAAGAGCCATGGTCTCTCTCCTCTGACCTCACAGAGCCCCATGCTTAGATAATCACACTGGGTCAGACCCAAGGTGTGCCACGTAGAGACAGGATGTTCTCCCAGTTTCATTTATGAGAAAGATCAAGTGATATATTTTCTAATTGACGTTATGCTTCATTAATTGGTCTCATCTGATCCCTGGAACCCAGGAATTTGGCTTTAAATCGTCCAGCCGTGGTCATGTCAGCTCCAAGCTGGTTCATCCAGCATCTTCCCAGGCTCCACCTCACTCATCTGTACCTGCTGCATCATGTCCCTACTTATTTATAGCAGTTGCTTTTCTTCTGTTGTAAGTTATTGAGCCACACAGCGTTGAAAACCTGAAAACCTCACAGTTTGTAAGCTATGGAATGGAGTCATTTCACTCAGCCTCCCTGAGCCTATTTCTGTGTGAAGTTGGGGACTGATGTGAAGCTGAAAATACATTTGTAAGATGACAGGCTCTGATGTACAGTGATTAGTATTAATAGCCATCATTTGGGACAAAGTTAAGTGTTGCCCCAGCTTCACAAAGTGAAGCCTCTGTTGTGGCCTCTGCACATGACAGCTGAGGACAATCGCAGTTCATGTTTATCAGGCATGCCGGAGGAGCTGGACTACTTTATTACATAGGTTACACGCTGGACTCCAACAATTAACTGCAAGCTAGAAGTTAATCCTCCCCATTTCATAAAGGACTCCGATTCAGGAACATGACAGGCTGGGCAGCCAGCAAAGAAGGCAGATGTGGCTCCCAAAGGTGGAGTGCCCGGGTGAGGAGGCCTCCAGGATTAGGTGGGGGCAGGATTTCGCCTAGCTGATGGAGATGTGGGAAGGTTGGGCCCCATTGCATTTATTTGCATCGCTTAAAGGGACACCTCTTAGAAGCAGAAATTAAGTCAGGCTTCCAGGCTTCTATTTGTTTTGTCTCACACCCTTGCTTTATGTAGAAAGGAAATCTCTGAGGGGGACACGAATACTTTCAAATGAAAGCATTATATGGGCATCCAAATGAGTTTTCACTTGTTTCCATTCTACTGTTTGCTCTTCATGAGAATACCTCCTCCCTCCCACCCAACAATCTCAGTGAGCTGATACTGTTTTGTAATCAAATTGTTTGCTTAAGTTTTTGAGAGCTAACTATGTGATTTTCAGTTTCTAAGTCTGAGAAAATGAGTACATATCGGAATTTGGAACAGCATGAGTTATAAAGCAGAAAATCACAAAGGTCCTTCAAAACAATCCTTTTAAGTAGCATCGCACTGCTGGGGGACCACAGTGGATTGGGTGCCTAATCCACATCTGTTGGGGTGGGTGCGCGCACACATCACTATTAAATACAACGTTTGAGGGAAAAAATCCCCCAGCCAGCACAGGAAATGGAATAATGATGTGTGTACAAATGGACAGCTGTAATTTAGAGTGGAAAGGGTCTTTCCTACTTGGTTGTAACTTCAAGGGGCAAAGGGATGCTGCCTTGAGTACTTCTGGAGAACACAAGGAAAGCAGCCCTACCCACCACCAACCCCGGGCTTTGGGACCTGATTGCTTTATGCTAAGAAACCATTTTTGTGGCAAAGTAGTAAGTTAAATCACACGATCTGAAGTTCACAAAGTTGTTAAGCATACAAACGACAGGACCACCACATTTAGAAAATGTCCTACAATGTGCGTTTTATTCCATATCATCATACAATGTTTACATATAACTCTTAAGAAAATGTTTTCTCTTTACCATTTTTTATGTAGTGCCTAAATCTTTCACTTTAACATGGCGAAATGAAAAGTGAAAATCCACATCGAATGCTATGCTACAAATTGTAATGAGCTCCAAAGTGTGTCAGTCAGGAGAAACGAGTCAAAGAGCAGCGTGGCTTACAAACCCTTGGCTTTAGTGAATTCAGGCATACAGGATCCACAGTCTCACCTCATACTCAAGACAAAATAAATTAGTGTTGGACAGAATCTAAATTGTACAAAACTGAATGAAAGACCACAGTGGGACCTTTTGTGGAAAATAGCACCAGTCCACACTTGACTGTGTTTCCAACATTAACCTTCCTGTTGACTATGACATTGGCACTGAGTGGGAGCCCTTCTGCTTTGTGAGGAGCCCCAGACTGACTGAGCATGCTGTGTCACTACCATCTCTAGGAAGGGTGGTCACGCCAGCCTGGGAAATGGCACATCGAAGTCATCACCGCCTTTCTGTGTGTTGTGTTTTGCCCACCCCCGATCTAGCTGATATTTTGTGGATGTTTCTGTGACAGTGGTAAAAGTAAATAAAAATGCGTTTAAGGGGTTTCATGGTAAGTGTTTAAAAACAAAACAAAAGTTAACAATAACAACATGAAAGAATGTGGTCGCAGCTAAGGAGATTTTCACATGTTGTTTAACTCCAGTAAAGTCTGATCCAGCATCTGATGCATACTAAGGTTTTCTTCTTTGGCATGAGCCACTTTCTCTGTGGTGGGATTAGAAAATTAAGTCATAAATAGCTGCGCTTTGGACACAAGGGTGGTTTGTACATTTAGGCAGGCAAACATCAATCACAAACACAAGATGAGATGATTAGAACTAGGCATGCTTAAAGACATTACTCATTTCCAGACAAGGACCTATGAAGGAGGTGGATGTCTTTGACCTGAAGGAACTACAGGCACAGCAGGTTTTCACAGAGCAGTTGGGGGAACCTTTCCCAAAAATCCACTCTGAGAACAGAATGCCAGGTGAAGTTTGGGGAAGGTTCTCTGGTTCTGTGCTGTGGAACAAGGGGAGGTGCGCACAGCACTGTTAATAAGAGCAGACATTTCCGAGTCACAGGCAGTTAAAAGGTCTGGAAGTTTTGCTGTAACTAAACACAATCTCACAGAAAACAAAGATGATGTAAATAGGGTTTCTGCCAACAGCTTAAATTTTTTCTGTTGCATGTGAAAAAAAAATAAACATGTTTCATGCACACTTCAGTAGGACATTCTCTTGCTATTCTTAGTGTTCTATTTATTATAAGCATGACATTCTCACCAGATTCCAACACCATTAGACTGATCAAAAGCATACCTTTCAGATACTCAGGGACGTCTTACATGAGTTCCTGTTTTCAAAGCTATTTTACCTAAGCATAGGTACATTTATTCACATTTTCAAACATTGTATCAGATATTAAGTCAGGAATATGAATATGTAACAGGAATATATATATTATATATAACACACCCTATATATATAATATATATATATATAGTTATACACATACACACCCCTCTGCTTTGGCTTTCTAACTTAAAGCACGACTCAGATCTCTGTAGGAAATAGAAAACAGTTTTTGGTCCTCATTATGCATCAAACAAGAGGACCTGCAATTGCAAACAGGAGTGCTGAATTGATTATTATAAATATTTATCCACCAACATATGTAATTTTACCATAAAAGCTGTTTTGGGATTAAAGACAACTTGATTATTCCAGATATAAGAAGGAAATGCAGGCAGGCTGGCCTTTCAGCTGACTCCTTCATTTACATTTCTGCAGAAAGCAATGGTTTTCAACCCTATTCACTGAAGATATGGATAGTCTTAAATTTCCTACCCACAAGTTCCATTCCTATAATTCTGCTCAAGTTCTTCCCCTCTTAAGTTTAATCCTCATTCAGAGCCAGCTTTAGTTGGTTAGTTAGGCGGCGGTTTTGCTCAAGTTGCTGGTAGAGTTGATCTGTACAGGTCAGCAAGCAGGTTAGCAGAAGAGAAGAGGCAGAAGGAGAGAGGTTAGCCAGACTTGAAGACAGGGAGTTAACAGAGAACACAGGTACTTCAGGCACTGGTCACTTGCTGAAAAGTTCACTCTCTCTCTATAGTCATCTGTCCTGTGTCCAAAGGGTGACCAGGTGAAGACTGACTTAGTGAGAAATAATCTTGAGAGGGGAGGGAACAGGGTAGTGGAGGAGAGGGATGTTCCTCTTACACCTCATTAAACTCACTGTGTAAACTGAGCTGAAAGTAGTTTTTGACAAAACCAGAGTGAGGGTTGGAGGCAGACCCAGCAATCCTTGTAGGGCTCAACCTGCCCAACTATGACTAGCAGGGTTAGAATTTCCTTTCAGGAAAGCAGGATCTACTTATGCTACATTAGAATTTTTTGAAAGGTAAGAGTTAAACTTTTCATCCTTCCTGCAATCATCAGGATATAGCATGCAAATTCTAAACCCCAATCCAGCTTTGACACTGGGTGTTACCTTCCTCACAGTACAAAATAACAAGCATTTATCTTCATTCAAAACTGATTTAAAATTTATTTGCTTACTTCTTGAAGTGCATGTCATTCATATTTAGTATTAGATGGGTATAAAAATGAATAAAATCTCAAACTTCACTGTATATATCTTTATACAGTGTTATATATGTGCCTCTATGTAGACAGACTGACAGACACACACATTTTTAACATACTGGCATTTGTTCAGATGGTAAAGAAGTCAACCTTAAGTCAGTATGTATGTATCTGATGTTCCAAGGAATACCCCAATAATGACAAGGACCTGGCATCTAATAGTAAAATCTCATGGATTCATATCTGTTTTGAATGGTAGTGATAACCTGGGTCTAGAAGCTCTGCCTCATGATTTTGAAAAGCTGCCAATTCTTCCCCTAGGAAGTATGTTCAGTCTCTGGTCCCTCAGTTGTCTGAAAACTTTAGCCGTTCCTATTCTAACTCTCCGTTCTACCTTCCAGATGTGTGCAGACTCAGAAATGCTTTTGGTTTGGTCCAACTGAGGCTCCCACTACAGCTCCAGCTATGGCCTGGATCTCTAAATTGGAAGCCTGGGTTCCAACAATTTTTGGTAATTTAACTTGCTATATATCTTCGTGTCCTTATGCCTTCTTGGGTTATTTCAGATATACCTTCCCAATTCCTCAGTTTCCCATTCCTTTGTAGGATGCACATCTAGAAAGTGTGACTGTCTTTGGGTTTCCAAAAAACTGCTGTTTCCCCAGAATTAACTGAACAGCTTCATTCAGCAGAACATCAGACTTGTCATTTCGTATATGGCAGGAAGCAAGATAACTCAGAGAAAGGTCCACTTCTATTATGCTGATTTTAGAGTAGAACAGGCAGGAATCATGGTCAAAAAACAGGCTCAAGATGATGTAGGAAAAGAAAAATATAAAACCAATGAAATGTTTATACTCTAAAGGGAGAGACACTACCCAGATTCTAAACTGAAGAGTCTCATGTTCTAGTGACTGAGCTAGCTGGGTACCTTCAAATTCTAAATTTAAAAACCATTACTATGCTATACAAAAATAATTTATAGCCCTTTAAAAAGAGTATTTTTTCTCTGTTTTGACATCTGTGGAATGATTGACAGTCTTAGTTTGTTCAAATTTATCTGAGTATAGTGGTTTATCAATCATCTTAAGCTAACAGAAATGACACACAAAACAGGTAAAAATCACCCACACTTAAAACATGGAAGAAATATAGCCAGAAAGTTGAGAAATGATGGAAAACAAGAAACAAAAAATTTTTAATCATTTTGCTGTTCTACTTTTGCAATATGCTTTAAAAAAAAAATCACTTCATTGCTGTTTCTGAAGTGAAACCCAATTAAAATATAAATGCATTCTGCATAATTTCTATCAACTACCTTTTAAGGGGGAAAAAAAAATCAACCTGAATGGCTATACTTAAAAATGTCCATATATCAGGAAAAAAAAACAAAAACAAAAACACCAGCATTTAACCTAAAGATTACTTACACACAATAATAAATTTCAACTTGGATACAGTGATCATATTTAGAAAACCTGAGATGTCATTTTAAGATCAAAATGAAGGAGACTGAGTATACTCCTATATATAGTAAAGAAGTATAAACAAAAGCTTTAACTGTTCTTTGTGCTGTAAAAGGAAGATCAGTAACTTCCACTTCTGTTAATTGCAAGTTTTTCTTTCCACCTCTCCCAATATGTAAATTCCTAACAATGTGGAATGGGTATGGAGCCCCCTTCTGCATGAGGCTTTCTTTAGTTAACCAAGCCCTCCACTGCAGGGTCATCTAAATGAGGTCGTGAACCGAGGGCTCAATCACATCCCATATAAAACCTCTGGCAGAGGAAGACACTGCTGAAGGCGGATGTTCTAACTCCAACAAGCAACAGACCGTGTGCAGAGGTTCTCAACTCAGGCTACTTCTCAGAACCACCATAATTCCTAAAATAACAGATACCAGGCTTCACTGTACTTTGGAAACTACACTCGAGAGGGACCCACATATGAGCACTTTCTTAAAGCTCTCCTAGGAACTACTGCTTTAGAAACTCTTGATATCAATAATATTCAGAATGGAAAAAAACAAAACAAAACAAAAACCAGCAGCCAAAAAAATTAACCCTCATATGCATGAAGCAGACTTGTAGTTTTATTCAGTGTTGAAATGAAAATGTCAATAAATAAAAAGTAAAAAGAAAAGCAAACAGAAATGGTACACACAGTGTTTATTTTACACTGAACTGAAGAGTTTCTGTACAATAGAAAGCACAGCAGGTATCTGGCAGGCTGCCAAAGAAAGAGCCAGGGCCAGGTGGAGAACAGACAAACTGCAGGGCTCAGAGAGGTGAAGCATCCAGCTTGATGAGAGGTCTTGGGAGAAGTGAAGCAAAGAAATTTATCTGCATGAAGAGAAAAAGGTGGGAAGGAGAAAAAAAAAAGTAGTATAATGGACAAAAGGAAAACCAACTGACAGATGAGAACCACACTTGGAACACAGGTGAGAAGCAGACATGCAAAATCCCCGCAAGCCGCCCCCAAGGGAGGACATCTATGTTCGTCCACCAGAGCCCAGACCCGAGGTATCGCTAGTTCCCTCTGGTTCAGAAAACCCATGAACAGAATATAACACCAAATTTTAAGCTAAACCCACTTCTCAGAATATTTACTCATATTGATACTTAAAGTTTTCCCCATAGAATCACCACACTGGAGCACTGAAAAGACCTCAGAGATGATGGAATGCTCTAGTTTCTATGGTGACATCATGTCTCTAAGGGTAATGTGGTGATTCTATGGCCTGTGAGGCAGAAGTGCACGCCACACTCTTCAAGCTACCTTTTATCTGCTTGGGTCAAGGTATGACAGGTGGGCCTCAAAAATGAACTTCCCAGAGTACATGGAATTCTGTGCCACATTGTTAGAATGAAGAGAGCCCTCTGGGGGAACATTCCAAGTTAGAATTTAGGGTTGGAGTAAGTTTAGTGTTTAGGTTTGGTTAGTAACAGACACATTAGTTCTCTATGCTCAAGGTCCTCATGAGAATAAGACTATCTACTCCCACTTTTGCTGCCCCACAGCGATAAAAGCTGAGTCATTAACCCCCAAACTCAAGTTGTACATACTATGCTTTATTTTCTCTGACACATGTTGTGGTATATACTGTATTTTAAATCCTTTTATGTCAATAGAGAACTTAAGTCTTGGTTACTTGGCATCAGGGTCACTACTCTCTAAAATTTTTAAAAACGAGGAAGAGATGATCTTTTACAGCACTATTCTTTAGCCTATATTGATCCCCCCCCCTCAGATCCTCAATAACCCAACACTTCTGGGATCCTTACATTTGTATCACTTACAAAAATGATATTACATTTACTTGAATTGCAGGAAAACAAATTTGACTTTTCTTGGAAATTTCCTGCAGAGCTGCATGGCCTTCTGACTTACTTTACTTGAGCCCCGTTTAGTTTCCTAAAAGGATAGTGCTCAAGTCAGTTTCTAGTTCACTGTTTGGTGGGAACAACTGAACTCAGATTACAAAATAAATGAAAATGGCTTCTGAAAGGAAAGTGTATAAAACAGACTCAATCTTCTGGCTTTCTTATTAGTAGAAAGTGGAAGAAACAATGACTATCCTAAATTATGCAAACAAGAGTGGACAGAGAGGTGTAAGGGTGAAGGCTCTGGAGCAGAGAAGCAGCGTGAATTTATCATATTAGCGGGAGGGCACGGATATGAGCAGGCAGGGCGGATGAACATTTACATGGAAGTCATGTCGTTGAGAGCGTGGTCCAGCTCCTCGCTGATGGCTTTGTACTTCAGTTTCTGAGCGTACAGCTCGTCTATGACCAGGAAGTGGAAGGCAGAGGTGCAAGGACATGGAGAGTGATCAAGAGATGGAGGGTGAGTGAGGGTGGCATGGGTACCATCCCACACAGCAGCAAGAAAAGGGCAATGCAGGTGGCCAAGGCAGGAGGCGTGCGGTTTGTTTTTAAATGAATTGAAACAAAAACAAAAAGACAAAACCCATTAGAAAATAAAACAAGAAAGACGCAATATGAAAATCATAACAAATATAGTAGGTATATCAGTAAACCAGTTTGAACCCTAAACAAAACTACAACAGCTGTCTCCTGGGTGGGTGAAAGAACATCTTCCTTTCCTGGAGCTATATTTTAATTACACTAAGTAAATATAAGTCACCTGCAGCTATGAACAGTGGGGAAAAAATCCAAAGGTAGTGTTTGGAAGAACAATTTGTGACTGTAGCCTGTAATCCTTACCTGGCTCCACCTTTAAGCCACTGACTTCCTGCCCAGACTAGACCACAGGGATGTTCTATTGAACACTGAAACTGCTCCTGTGGTCTTTCCGCTCAAGTTGCCCTGTTTCTGGGTCATGAAGCTTAAACATCAAGGAGTCCCACATTTTTTATGGTGGTGCTATGACAAGGCTGAAGTTTAGTTTTTGAATAATGAAGGCTTCACACTTAGCTGCATTCTGGAAGACTGTTTGCAACCATGTGTCATTTCTCTTTCCACTAGCCAGGTTATCAATTGCATGGACCTTCAGTTCCTTTTCTGGCTCCTCCTGCTTTGCTGTATCTATTTTACAATTTTTTTTTTCTCCCAGAGCTGACCCTTCACAAGCCTCAGATCTCAACATGTAGGATTTTTGTGAGACAGAAAGTATAAAAAAATCCCCAAACCCACACATTCAATTTGTATTTGAAGATGGGTTGTATCTAAAAACAAAACCACACTAGTCTTATAATTAGGAGGTATCATTAGAGATAGAAAACATAATATAGTTATTTTCACCTACAATTAGCTCATCCAAAAGGAAAAATTAACCTGTACACATCTGAAGAGAGTGAAGGAAAGCAGGATGGTTACAAAAGAGATGCACTCCGTCTAGTGGCTAACCATTACCTGTGAGCAGAGGACTCAGGTCCAAGAACTTAAGACCCACAGGAGGAAAAGCCCAAAGGACAGTCAGGAAGAATGTGCCAGAGCAAAGAAGAAATTCGGGGTGGGGGGGTGGAGGGGGATGCACTTGGATTGGAAAATTGTTTTGCCAGGTCAGTACTCAACCATAAGGATTACATTTAAACCAAAACTTCAGATCTTACCTTCTAAGTCATCAATGCTTTTCTCCAATTTAGTTACTGACCTCTCGGCAAACTCAGCACGAGTCTCAGCCTGTAATGATTCAATTTATTTCACAATCAAAATTGGAACCTACAAATATAGGGGCAACTACAGAATATTTTATATCCTCTCAGTCTGTCATTACAGCATGAGATGGAAACTAGCAAAAAACACATGAACTCCAGGACCACGTGAATATTCCCGACTTGAATTATCACAGCTTGAAAAAGTCTGACCAGTTCCACAAAAACAAACATATTTAAGTCTATTGGCTTCAACCAAAACACTTATATTACCTCCTTCAGTTTGTCAGAAAGGGCCTTGATCTCTTCCTCATATTTGTCTTCCTTCTGTGAGTACTGTAATTAGAAAGAACGTTCCAGATGTCAGGCCACAGCTTACTATATATTCATGTCTTCGATATGAAGAAAGTGCTGGCCCAACCCATAGATGTTGAGGATCTCTTGGGAGGTAATGGAGACTCTGATATCAAATGGCACACTATAATACATTCTCTGTTTTCTTGCATATTGTTTTACATGGGATAAGAACAAGATAACTATCTTGTTTTAATTGGTTTTGGTTAAAGTGTTATAGATAATTCACATACTCAACAAAGAATATACTCTCTATTAAAAAAAATCCAAAACCGTTATCCAATAAACACCTTGAAAAGTCCCATTTACTAAAAAGCCTATTGTTTCATTAGCAGGATCTCAGAAGAGAAAAAAGTGAGCTCTTAAAAGATGTCTTTTTCCCCACACCACACTCCTGGCATACCTTCTCAGCCTGAGCCTCCAGTGACTTCAAGTTGTTCGTCACAGTTTTCAATTCTTCTTCAAGCTCGGCACATTTGCTAATGTTTTCGATCAGAGGCAGAAAGGGTGGGAGACAAGCCAAAGGAAGGAGGAGAGAAAAAGGAGAGGGATGGGAAAAAGTGAAAACTGAGTCCTAGAGAACAAAGGGCTGCCTTAAAGTAGCCAAATTGTCAAGTTTTAAGAGATTCAATTTTGTCATGGACACTACTCCCTTCTCTTTGCAACAGCAGAAAGCAGGGTGACAAAATTCAACAACTTGGAAGGGTGACAAAGTGCAATTTGGCTTCTTTTTTGGCTGCACCAAAGAGCATATATGAAGGAAAAACACAGGAGTATAAAGGACCCAAAGAAAGCACTTAAAGCAAGATATAAGATAGCAGAGGGTGTAGTGAAGGTGCAGTCATTATACCAATGAACCAGTAGGCATTGGAAGCTGAAAGACATCTGGGTTGCAGTTAAACCTAAAAACCACACATGAGCCATCAGTACCTTATCCTCTGCAGCCATTAATGCTTTCAAGGTCTGATCCATTATTCTTAATTGTTCTTCCAGCTGTCGAACTTGGCTGTTAGTGGACACAGGAAATGCACAAGGCCATTCTCAAAATCAGTGTGCAGGTAAGGCATGCAGTGATACACGCATTCATACACAGAAACCCCATACAAGTCCTCTGTGTTCCAGACTCGTGGCTCATCCACATCGAATGAGCACATAAGGAGCCTGGAGCTGAAACAGGTAAATGTGCAGCTGCCAGAAGGTCATGCTGTTTAGTCACTGCTCTGCAGCACCCCACACACAGCTTCCTGGTGTCGGGCCCGCTTACCCTTCTGAGAGCTCAGCCCTCTCCTCTGCACGCTCCAGGTCACTCTCAATGATGACCAGCTTACGGGCCACCTGCAGCAGGACAAACACAATACACATGAATCATAGGGCTGTAAGTTTTGAGTGGAGGGCGTGGGGCTGAGGGTTGGATGCCCTAAGAGTTCCTGCCTACAAACAAGATACCCCGCTTTCCCACAGAATGGAGAGAAGCAGTTCTTCATCAGCAGTGCCAATGGAGGGACTAGGGGCTTCTGCTCATAAAGACCCAAGATACTTCCTTATGAATAGGAAAGCTCATTTTAACTTTGACACAGCTGAAGACTATAATTACACTGTAGTCAGACCAAAGTGTAGAAAAAAAGAGTTGAAATTCAGTCTCAAAAACTGCAGTATGATAAAACATTAAAAAATTCCCGGGCCCTCCCTGGTGGCGTAGCGGGTTAAAGCACTGCACTAAGCAGCTTAAGCCACTTCCGCATGAGTTCGATCCCCGCCTGCCCTGAAGGTGACCACATGGCGAGGCAGACCTCTCCTGACCCGCCCGCTGCTCCCCTCAGCAGTGTACTTCATCGATCTGCCTGTTCTGCTCCCCACTCTGTCTCTGGTGAATCCTCTCACTGCCTCTGCACCTCTGGCCTGTACCCCAGTTCTGTATGAATAAATAAACAAATCTTAAAAAAAAAAAAAATTCCCAAGAACTCCATCAACTTATAGTTCTGTACCTTAGCCTCCTTATGGAGGAGGTTAAAAATCTCAACAGTAACAGCAAAGTAAGCCAACATGACTAAGTAGATGAGATGACTAATGAGGGCAGAAACTGACAGAGGGATCTCTGAAGCATTTCAAAATGCTTCAAGATGATGATGGTAAAATAAAAAATCCCCATAGGTTCACAGGTCAGTCACCTCCTGATCATGGCTCATGCAAACAACTGATGAAAAATTTTAGTTTTTTCCTAATGTATCATGGCTATCCTGAAAAGGCTGATTCACCTGTGAACCTGTGTTGATAATGGGATCCTACTACCTTGAGGAGAAAGGAGAGATTAGAAAGGGCAGCCATAATCTATGGAGCAGCTGTATGGTCTGTGCATGCTCACTGCCTGAACTGGGTTATGCCAGGTGATTCACACTGAGAAGAAATGCCTGCTGCGTGACGGTATGAGAGGTTCCTTCGACCAACATAGGAGGCCCAACTCTCCCTTCTCCTGCCAGAACTCTCTGTCTTGTCTTTGGGTCTTTCCCAGGCTACTGATTGGCGTGGGGTAAGGGCTGGGATCCCCAAAAAGATCAAATTAAGAACTATTTTCTGGAGATAAAGGGAACTCTGGTTCTCAAAGCCACCCTTTTCTGCTGAAGGAGACTGTTTCACTGAAGAAATTAAGGCTGCACACTGCTCCGTTCAGCCCAGCCACCCAAGGTCACTGCTGGGAAGTTCCAAGAGGCTTTGGGCCCCAGAATCTGACCTCTTCATACTTTCGGTCAGCATCTTCTGCAATGTGCTTGGCTTCTTTCAGTTGGATCTCCTGGATTTCCATTTTTTCCTCATCCTTTTGGGCTCGACTTTCAATGACTTTCATGCCTCTGAAAATGAAGACAAGCAGGAGAACCAAGATTTAGAGCTGACCTTCACACCCCCCATATCAGTGGTGGTGAGGGGGTGTACTTGCACTGCAGTGGGTTGTGTGGCTAAGTGTAACTGTCAGAGTAAAGTAGAATATAGAGATATTCCCTCGCCCACAAGCCATGATGCAAGATTTTCCAGAGCTGAAGGCCGAGAAAGAATACACTTCTCTCTGTTCATTGTAAAGAAAAACTCATATTTTGATACTGATGAAAACAGCCAGACATCTAATGGTAAATAAAATTACCATGTCAGGATGCTGTTGCAACCTAGGAGACATAAGATCAGGAAAAGCCAAAAAGCAGCTGTTCTTACCTCAGCAGCTACAAAATATCAGATTGAACCATATGAAATTGCTGATAATCTGACCATTTCAGAACTCCAAAAGTGGCAGATCTGTGCATCTAAAAACTGAATGTAAACCTCACACTTTAGTAAAGAAATTATGGGTTTTCATGAACTCTCTCACAGAGGTCCTGAGAGGTGTGATGCCATCTTCTACACTGATATGCATATTAGGTTTTATATTTTGGAAATTAATCTGCTATACCACAGATTTATGCAATAAAAAGTCATGTTAAAATTGCATTTAATTACTAACATTTAAGTAGACTATTAGAGATCTAAGCCATTATTTTTCGTGAAGCACTACTCTATGTTTTAGGAGATCTGTGTTCTAGTTTTGGCTTAGCCAGGAACTCACTGTGACAGTGGCAGGCCATGTCAGTCTCTGAGTCCCAGTGTGCTCATATGTAAAACCAGGGGATGGAGTAAATGGTCTCTGAATTACTTTCTACTCCAAAGTCTAGAATTACAACATTGCTTTTTAGGTTTACTAACAAGTGTACTTCAGGAAGAAGTCCATCACAAAACCACTGGTATATGTGCACTGTACAAGATAACGTGTCATCTCAAAGAATTCCAAAACTCTTGGCTAGAAAAGAAACAATAGGCAGCAGTAAATAAGAGGCTGAAAATGAAAACTTCATCTTAAAGCTTTAATCCTAAAGTCTGAAATCACTCTTTACCCATGGTAGCAGGGAGCAGAAACTCACTTCAAAGATGGACAAATGGAAACAATGATTGATTGCATTCACCTGCCCTGATCAGGATACAGATAGACACACTACAGTTTGTGATCTCTCCAACAGCAGACTGCTCTCTAGTCTTAGGGAGTCTTTCCTGAAGTGCCTCTGCATAATATGAACAAGTGAGTGAGAGAGAAATAGTCTTCTAGAACACCCACAGTTGTCCTAGTCAGTCTGAGTCATGGTTTTCTTTTATTACCATAACCCCAACCTGGAACAATGAGTTAGGCAAAACCAAGTTACAAGCGGAGTGGGCTAAGAATACCTGAGTATACACCTGTACTCTATATGTGTGTGTTTTATCAGCATTACTGAGCCCAACGTGATTTACTTTTATAGATTCTATTTCTGTTTTATCCACACTTCCTCTTCTATTTATTTGACTACGAACATCCATAGTTCCTTAACCCAGGTCCTAAGTCTCTTAAAAAAAAAAAAGCGTAATTGCTCTGTGATCAGCATGAATGAAAGCACCTATATATAACCCTGTACCTGTTCTTTGCATGGGAAGCTCACTATGAGGGTGGAAACTGATACTGTCTTTGTAACCTTGGGGTTTCCAATAGTACTTTGCATGATAGGCTATGCACTAATTTTAAATGAACAAAACCAATAAAGTTATACCTAGGATCAACAGAGGAAATGATCCCACTAAGAGAATACAAAATTCACAAACTGCAAATTCAGAGATGGTGTGTTCCACCAGTTGGAAGGGCCTGTGCTAGAAGGTAGAATGGATGAGGCATCCTCACCTCTCACTTTCATCTGCCGCCTTCTCGGCCTCCTCCAGCTTCTGCAAAGCTGTGGCCAGACGCTCCTGGGCACGATCCAGCTCTTCCTCAACCAGCTGGATGCGTCTGTTCAGAGAAGCTACGTCAGCTTCAGCCTAGGCAGAGAGTGAAAGGCATTTCAGCGTTGGAGAGAAAGAGAGGGTGGTGCCTTCTGGAAGTGGCTGAGACTAAAACACTGATATCAGACAGGAAGCCTGGACCCTGTGGTTTGCTAGCCTGATGTGCATTCCAAGCACTGGTCAACTATGGCATTCCTGAATACTCTCATTTACATATCAATGTTCACATTTGTGTGTATACAAATCCACAAACACAAGTCTCATCTGACAGATACAACATTGGCAGATGCTCTCTCACTTGGTTCCTTTCTTCCATAGATTTCAACACACTGGCTTTACCTGCCCATTAAAGGGGGCTTTGTTACAGCCACTTCACTCACTGGCGGCCGAACTGTGGAGACACAGACTTACCCAGGCTCAGTCTCCTAAGACAGTAGCTGTACAGCCAGCCAGATTGAACTCAGGTGTCTCAATTCTCTTCCATCCTGGCCACTTTCTCAAAGGAGCTCAAAAAGAAACTAAATCATTTTAAATTTCAGAGGCTCTAAAATATATAACATACAGAAACACAACAAAATCCAATAGCCACTCTCAACCCCTTTCAGACAACCCTTTAGAATAGGACCAAGACAAATTTCCCAAGTTTTTTTGACCTAAATCTATTGGAATTTCTTAAAAGTCAAGGTTGCTACAAGAAAAGTTTCAAACTCCTTAGGAGAAAAGCAGTACAGGTCCAGTTTTTATTTGGAATCTATTTAAGAGGTTCCTGTCTTGGAAATGCCATGATTACTCACTATTAAAAACAATTGTTACAAGTTTCAGAACAGTTCCACTATAATGGTTCATTAGTATCTACTTGCTGTGGTAACTATTATTACACAGGGAAGTAAAGATGTAATTTACTAATCAGGTACTATTTCCTTGTCTTCATCTATGATGAATGCACACTTTTCATGGGAGTATGGCATTTTCAGGACACTTGGGAGTATTTTAAAAAGACATAGCCCCTGAGGGACCTATGTTAGTTCTCTATCTACATTCCTGCCATCTGTAAGCTTCTTCAGTGCAGAGAAATCAGTTTTTTGCACAAAATATAGGATCTATTTATTGGAATAAATGTCTACTTATTAAGCAAAAACAACTTCTTAGTTAACAGATCCACGATATACAAAGTCTGAAAGTCACAGTTTGACAGAAGCTGTGATGAAGTCCTTGAGTCAAAGAAATTCAAGAACACTCAGCTCTCTGCTCATCTAGATTTGTAAGATTTTAAATGCCAAGTTTTGTCTGGGAAAGAGGGGTGCTAAGAGCATCTCTAACCCTGGTAAAGATCTATGAAAGTATACACTACACTTTTACCTCATCAAAAATTAACTAAGCAGTAATAACTGGCTCACAAAAGCAGAGAGCAGGGGGGAAAGGGAAATGAATCCACGGAGAACAGTGTAAAACTGCAGTGGCCTACAAAGTCAACTATCAGCACAGTGTGAGTCATGGGCTGTGCAAAGTCTGACTAGCCAGCTACGGTTGTAGCTTTTTTTGGAGGAGAGGTGAGGGTAACAGGGATTATACATTTCTTAGGTGTTTTTTTAAAGTCCTTAGCCCTATTTCTAAAAACTGAAAAGAGGTATACATTAAGGTATACTTTTGGGTTAGGTCAGCTTTTGTCACTTTTCTCTATTTTCCACTTACAATAAAATTCTAGTCCTTTTATGAATGGAGAAAAACATTAAAGTTAAAAACAAACATTTAGAGCAAAAACAAAAATCACCCCTCAAACCACCACCACCACCAAAAACTACATCTTAGTAGAGCATCTAGTTTGTATACTCGAAAGTATTTTCTTTTCCCTCCTTGTCTTTTTTTTTTTTTTAAATATGAAGCCAAATATCCTTGTTGCAAACCACAGAAATGTCAACATTTTCAAAAAGTTTTGTAGCCACCACAATCTAAGTTCCTTGCTCTGAACTGGATCTGGGCCCCAACCTTGAGGACTTTGTACTCACAGAATGGAAACAGTTTATGCTCTGGGGAAAGAACCTTCCAGGTCCTCACTTTCCCACATAGCTGGGACACCAGAGAGTAAAGAGAGAGCGAGTACTTGCACTGGTTTCTGTCTCTGCACACAAGATCCCCCTATCAGAGAGCCCTCTCCATCAATGCGTCTTCCCATATCGCCCCCTTTACTTGTGGACACTGCTTTAACAAATGCCATATTAACTCTTCCCCCTAGAGCAATTTGTAGAACCTTAGACGTCTTCATGTTAAAGGTATGCTCTATAGGAATATCAGATAATACCATGTCATGTGGGGTCCACAGGTAATGGCCAGGAAGGGAGATCGGTTTCTAGAGCCAGAACTGGGGCAAACAGAGAGCAGTGCTGCAGGTGGTCCACAAAATGGGATCTCAGTTGTTCAGCTGGAAGAATTCCTAGGATCATCCAGCAGCAACCTCAACTGATGAGTATCAGAATATACCAGGAGATGTGCATTAAAAGTCCTTTCCAGCCCCATCCCTAGAGATTCCAATTCAGGAGGTCAGCACATGTTCTATGCCTCCACCTTCCCTGCCCCATCGCCCAAAGAAGTTGGCAAATCCTGGGAAACACTTTTGTAGCTCATTTAAAAGAAAACAGAAGGAGAAATTCTGACTGGGACGGCTTAAGTATTTTGAGATCACACAGCTGCCAGTGGGAGAGACTTAAATCCAAGTCCCAGTTCTTCAAGGGCTGGCCCTCCTCATTTCTCCATAACTTCATGGAAACTCTGAAATTGGTGGTTCTCACCCCCTGGTGATGTTCTTTCTTCTGACATTTAAGTAAGAGGTCTCTATAGTCACCCCCACCTCCACTCCTCAATGGAAAGAAAAGCTTCCTGCCTAACTTGGACTAGAAGTTACCATACTGAACATCATCTATTAAACAAGTTTTCTAAATCCCATTTGAAATGAGTTATTGTATAAAATGGAAAACCTCATAAAGTAACACAGTGGGTAAGAGTTCATACCAGAATGAGCATTTGCTCTTAATCCCAGAAGCCAGTCCCTGCTGCCCCACAGATTTTGAAGCAGGGCAGGCAAAGATGCTGTGAGATTAAAGCCCGGTCTTATGGGAACATATGTGGAAGCTTCCCCTGGGAAAATTCTTGATTCTCAGGGGCTTCTTTGGTCCTATCCTAATGGTCTGATTGAAACTCTGTTTAGTTCCTTAGAATTCACAGTATATCCATAAACTAACTAAGGTCATCTCTCTTTTTTTTACTTTTTGAATTATGTCCTTTGTTCAGAAGGCCCACATCTCTCACCTTCCCTTGACTTTGTTTCTGGCATGTGTTCTGAGTTTATGTAGAATTTCTCCAAAGTTCTTGTCATCATAGCACCTGGACAGTCTACCTAAGACAACCTGCAGTTTGCCTCATCAGTACTAGCCCATAGCCATAAGACCTGCTATTAATTAATTAATATGCATATGTAAATAAGAAGGCATTTAGGGAAGAGTCAAGACCCCTGGGGCAAATGATTTCCAGCCTGGAAATTGTTGGTAGTGTACCAGGTTGGTTTATTCTAATGACAACCCATGGGGTGACACTGCAGGACAAGTCTTGCAGTTATGGATGCCAGTTTCTTTAATTCAAAAGTACTTTTCACCCCAACACGCAGTGAGCTACTTAGAAAGCAGACAGCTTTATCAGCAATGGTTACTAATGTCTTCCCGCAGATCTGCTGGAGCCACTAGATTGCTCTCTACTTGTGAGGTGCTTAGAATTATACATACCAGCCCTGTCACCGTATCTCCCCAAAGCACTATCCTCATCCCCAAGTTACTATACAGAAATTAAGAGCAGGTCTGCTTCAACATAGTCTTCTGAAAGAAAACTTTTACAAGGCCTAAATTTTTCTGAAATCCAGATGTTTTGGCCAATACAATGAAAAAGATGAAAAACAGCAATGACATTTGCTTAACAAAGTTATTTCAACAAGACAACTAAGGAGAAATGCTGGTAGGAGAATATGCTACCCTAAAAATTAATTTACTAGAATATATTTTTAAAATCTTGTCTGAACCAGAGCGGAACATGGGATGATCAAAGGTCATATTTCTGTATTTCATGCAAACTGTAGCTTTACAGAGAAGCTTTCACCCAACTGCTGTGTAAGATCAAGTGACTACAGCCAAGTTAAACTTCTGCCCTTATATGGTAGGGAAAGGGAAAAAAAAAACACTGATGACATTAAGGGGCACTCCCATGGATAACAGATAAACACAACCTCCACTCTCCGTGCCAAAGCCTGTAATTTATGAGGCATATTTGTATAATGAGGCAGAGTGGACATAAACAGGGCACTGCAGTGCCTTTGCCCTGCCCAGATAAGAAAGCAGAAATTAAGAGTCTATATTCTAGTTACTGTCACCCTAGGGGTGCCAATGTGAGCACAAAATGCACTCAGTTTCTTGGATTCAGAGACATTTAAAATCCTAAAGAGAAAGGGCTAAGAATTTTTGGAAATTGATCAATTACCATGCTTTAATACAATTACCAATTAAGAACTACAAACTCCTCCTTGCTTGCTGGTTACACCCCAGAAAGAAGGAAGGAGGACTCTATTTTTGTTACCTTTTTCCCTTTAATAATGTCAAAAGGCCCTCCCTGGTGGCGCAGCGGGTTAAAGCACAGCACTAAGTAGCTAAAGCCACTTCCGCATGAGTTCGATTCCAGCCTGCCCCGAGGAGATCCACATGGCCCCGTGGACCTCTCCTGACCCCGCCCGCTGCTCCCCTCAGCAGTGTACTTAGTCGATCTGCCTGTTCTGCTCCCTGCTCTGTCTCTGGTGAATCCTTTCATCCTCTGCATCTCTGGCCTGTACCCCAGTTCTATATGCATAAATAAATAAATCTTTAAAAAATAATAATAATAATGACAAAAAACAAAACCACAATCCTAGTGGGTCCCAAGACTTATAACCAACCTACTAGGCAAAGTAGCCTAATTCCAACATTTGAAGAACTCACACATCTTGGAAAAACAAACCAGAAAAA